CACATCTGGATGTCCACCAGCATCTATACCCACCTAATGTGCATATTTTGGGTGCCCACTTGCATTTTTGCCCACCTACCCTGCACATCTGGACATCTACCCTCATCTGCACCCACCTACCATGCACATCTGGACACCCACTCACATCTGCACCCACCTAACCTGCATGTCTGGACGCCCACTTGGATCTCCACCCACCTACCATGCATGACTGGATGCCCACCTGCATCTGCACCCACCTACCCTGCAAGTCTGGATGCCCATCCACACCTGTGCCCACGTGCTATGCACATCTGGACACCCACCCACCCACACCTCTCCGTGCAGGCCCAGCCACGACTGCGCCCGTCACCCATCTGTGTCCCAGCACCCACCTCCCTTTCCACACCCTGACACCCACCTGCCTCTGCACACCCCCCTTAAGCCCACCACCTCAGCGCTGAACCCCCGTACCTCCCTTCCCATGAACCAGGGAGAAGCTGGAGATGTGGGTCTCCATCCCCATTCCATCCCCTTCCCAATCTGACCCAGTTCCTTGAGCATCTCTAGATCTCCAGGGATCACAGATCCCATCCCACGGCCCTTGGGGAGGATTGATGGGAGGGAGGAAACGCTGCTCCAAGCGCATTCGAGGGAACTGAGCCATCTCAAACCTGGTGTGGAGAGCACAAAGCCTTTTCCTCCAGCCAAATCCAGCACAGGAAGCACAGTCCCTGGGTTCTCATTAAGCAGTTGTTCTTATTAAGCAAATCTTGATTAGTTGTGTTTACCCTCCACAAACCCCCCCCCCCCCCCCCATGTTATTGTTCAGCCTTAGAGTGATGGACGTGGACATGCAGCCTGGGCCCAACCATTTACAGGAACAGCAAAGACACCAAAGAGAGATTTGAGGGAAATAAAAAATGTTTAATTAGGGAAAAAAAAATAATAATTAATTTTTCAACTCGCAAAAAACCAAACAAATAACAACAACCCCAGGGCAACCACTTATATTTTCTCTATTGTCCAATATTGGTGTCCCTGCTGATGGCAGGGGGGTTGGAACTAGATGATCTTTATGGTCCCTTCCAACCCAAACCATTCTATGATTCTATGATTCTATTGTG